TTGCCGCCGCTGCCGTCGCAGGGGGAGAGTTGGGTTCCCAGAAAGTAGCTTGATGAGTGTCCAAAGTAGCAGTGGAAGTTTGGAGGGGCCGCCATCTTGGTCCCAGCCCTCCGTGTCTCCAACCCCGGGCTCGGCGGCGGCGGCCAGGTCCCTCCTGAATCGCACACCGCCATCCGGGAGGCCCAGGGAAGGTGCAGTGGATGAGCTTCATAGTCTGGATCCAAGAAGGCAAGAGTTATCGAAAGCTAGATTTTCTGGAGTTGCAAGTGAGAGCCCTGCGAGTACAGGCAGTTGCAGTGTTGGAGCTAAAGCTTCAACAAATAACGAAAGCTCTAATCACAGTTTTGGAAGCTTGGGATCTTTAAGTGACAAAGAATCAGAGACACCAGAGAAGAAACAATCAGAATCATCCAGGGGAAGAAAGAGAAAAGCAGAAAACCGGAATGAAAGTAATCAGGGAAAAAGTATTGGAGGATGTGGCCACAAAATTAGCGACTATTTTGAATACCAGGCTGGAAATGGCTCAAGTCCAGTAAGAGGCATACCTCCTGCAATCCGTTCTCCTCAAAATTCACATTCACCTTCCACTCCTTCCTCATCTGTTCGACCCAGTAGCCATTCTCCTACTGCATTAGCATTTGGGGACCACCCTATTGTACAACCAAAGCAGTTATCCTTTAAAATTATTCAGACTGATCTCACAATGCTGAAATTAGCAGCATTAGAAAGTAATAAAATCCAGGACCTGGAAAAGAAGGAGGGACGTATAGATGATTTGCTCAGGGCTAACTGTGATCTCAGACGGCAAATAGATGAACAACAAAAATTACTTGAAAAATACAAAGAACGATTAAGTAAGTGCATATCAATGAGCAAGAAACTTCTTATTGAAAAGAGTACACAAGAAAAATTGTCAAGCAGAGAGAAGAGTATGCAAGATCGATTACCCCTTGGGCACTTTACAACAGTTAGACATGGCGCTTCATTTACTGAACAATAGACAGATGGTTTTGCATTTCAGAATCTTGTGAAGCAACAAGAATGGGTGAATCAGCAAAGGGAAGATATTGAAAGGCAAAGGAAACTTTTAGCCAAACCCTAACCTCCCACAGCTAGTAATTCTCAGGCACCCTCTACCGATTCTGAGCCAAAATAAAGGAAAAACAAAGCAGTCAATGGAGCAGAGAATGATCCCTTTGTTAGACCAAATTTACCACAACTGTTGACTTTGGCAGAATATCATGAACAGGAAGAAATTTTCAAACTTAGACTAGAACATCTCAAAAAGGAAGAGGCAGAAATCCAGGCAGAACTTGAACGTTTGGAAAGAGTCAGAAATCTTCACACACATGAGCTGAAAAGAATAAACAATGAAGATAATTCACAGTTCAAAGATCACCTAACATTAAATGAAAGATATTTATTACTTCATCTACTTGGTAGAGGTGGCTTTAGTGAAGTATATAAGGCTTTTGACCTTTATGAACAAAGATGTGCTGCTGTGAAGATACATCAGCTTAATAAAAGCTGGAGAGATGAGAAGAAAGAAAACTACCACAAACATGCCTGCAGAGAGTATAGAATACACAAAGAACTGGATCACCCCTGAATAGTTAAACTCTATGATTATTTCTCCTTGGATACAGATACGTTTTGTATAGTGTTAGAATACTGTGAAGGCAATGACTTGGATTTCTATCTGAAGCAACACAAG